ACCTCGGACGTACCATCTCCGCGGACGGGAAGGCCGACCGGGAGATCACGAGCCGCAGCTGCCGAGCGTGGAAGTGCTACCGCCGGCACAGTGCTTCGATGTACGAAAGGCGACGGGCCGACCGCCAGCTCAAGATCCGGCTACTCCAGGCTGAGGTGGTGGAGACTCTCCTNTGGGATACCGGGGCGGGCAGGAGAGCGACTGGGTGTCTCGTCTAGGAGAGGACCTCGTGGCCTTCAACATGGGAGACGAAAAGGAAGGGGGGAAATGGAAAGAGAGCGCCACAGACCCGGAGGTGTGGTACAACAAGGTCGAGGACGGGGCGTCGTGGTTCATGAGGAAATGGCACAGGCAGGAGGCGGAAGCGTCCGCGAAGCGCCAGCGCGTGAGGGAAGCAGAAGCAGGGAGTACGACCATCTCAGGACCGACGAGGAAGAGAGCCGGGGAAGCGGCGGCGGGGGGGAAGAAACGGCGACCGGGCGCTGGTGTAAAAGCGAGTAGGGCGCCCGAGGCAGCGCTTGTGGAGAACTATGTGTATGCGGCCTACGCCACTTATTGATCGGGTGAGACTGTTTTGGTGATGTAATAACTTCACGAGAGGTCGACGACCGTCCTTCACACGGACGAGAGAGGGAGTGCTCAAAGAGCGGCTCCCACAGCAAGGAGGGGCCCCGTGAATCATCGCGGTGCCCCCTACCAAACGGTAATCTTACCAGTCTGTGTGACACAAAATCATCCAGCACATGTATCCAATACCAATGTTCACAGGCCCACGAACACCCTCCCTGGTTCTGCACGCAAGTGACTAACCATCAATTGGGCAAGAACGCCCCTGGATACATTAGAAAATACCAACAGGGTAATACATGGATGGGAAACCCGGCGTCCGAGCAAAACCCCTAAAGAAAAACCCTACCACCACAATGAACCGTAGCTATCACAGCGGATCACAACGGCCGCACTTATTAGAAAGGCCAAGGCGAAGACAAGTACGCGAGGAACTACGTTCCCCCGGACGATGGTCTCCAAACGCCCCCTACTCCTGCCATTGGTACACAGACCGCAACAGTTTTGCGCCCTCCCCGCATGGAAAACATGGCCTCTCCCAAGTGCTAGAAACTGCTACAGCTACTCCGGCAAAATCATCAGCTTGCGCCGGTGATACTGCAGACTGGCCCTGCTAAGGCCCTTGGTGAGGAGGTCCGCGTGTTGCTCCGTTGTCGGGACAAACTTGACCGCTATATCCCCCGGCCGAAACAATCCGCGGATGAAATGAAACCGCACGTCGATGTGTTTCGTTCGACCTGAGCTGAGAGGGTTCTGCACCAACGCTATGGCCCCCTGGTTGCCCTCAAGGACCTGGATGCTGCTACCACTGGGCTCTGGGGCAACAAACGAAAGCACATCACGCACAAATAACGCCTCCTTGACGCCCTCCCCGGCAGCAATGTACTCGGCTTCCGTCGAAGACAAAGACACGATGCTCTGCGTCTTGCTACCATGGCTGACTACGGTACCTCCGACCGTCGTCGCCAACCCTGACATCGAACGCCTATCCTTCGTGTCGGCGTAGCTAGCGTCTACGTACACGGCAAGCCCTAACCCCGATCTCCGTTGGTAGGTGATGCCGAGGTCGCTCGTCCCTTTCAGGTAGACGAGGATCTTCTGTATGACATCCCAGTGCCGCTTCGTCGGGGCGTGGGCGTGGCGCGCTACCGCACGCACGGCGAACGAGACGTC